TCCTGGCTGTGGGGTCTGACCTCAGCACAGCCCTCACACAGCTCTCTAGGGACAACAGCAGGCTCATGGGGACTCAGCGGGGTCTTGGCTGTGGGGTCTGACCTCAGCTCAGACCTCACACAGTTTTCCAGGGACAACAGCAGTCAGCAGACAGGGGTAGTTTCTCAGGGACACAGCGATCAGCGGACACTCAGAGTTTAGGGAGGGTAATGGAGGGGCTCATGAACCGTCCAGGCAGGGAAAAGTAAGGGGGGGGGAGTAGTCCATGGACAGTCCAGGCAGGGGGAAACCGGGGCAAGGACACTCACAGTTCTGGCAGGGGTTCTTCCTGGCCCACAGCAGACGACAGCAGGTAGCGACACTCCTCAGCACACAGCAGAGGATCCACACAGCGGGTATTTCTGGCACACAGCAGCATGGGCAATCCTGGCCCCACAGTATTAGGCAGGATAGCAGCGCGTACTCTTCCTGAGCCCCGAGTATTAAGCAGAGTGTTCAGCGGGTAATAATCCTGACCCAAGGGTATTAGGCAGAGTGCTCAGCGGGGATGGCTGGGGGGGCTGGCCTCAACTCAGACCTCACTTCTGGCACACAGCGGCAGCGGGTAACCCTGACCCAGGGTATTAGGCAGAGTGCTCGGCGGGGATGGCTGTGGGGGTCTGGCCTCAACTCAGACCCTGCACAACATCCTGTCCCAAGTGGGGGACGAACAGGCAGCTTGGGTCCTGCTCCAGTCTTTTTAAGCCCGAGCAGGATGCTTCCCGGCTGCCCCAGCAACGGCCAGCCCAGTGTCCGGTTGCTGGGGCAACGAGGCACGCCCCCCTCACTTGGGCCACGCTCAGGGAACGCGGCCTTTGTCTCCAGCGGGGGAACGCGCAGAGACACCTGCGCCTGGGATTCTTGTTGGGGGGGCCCGAGAGGTGCTAACCACACCACAGGGGGTGTTTCCTCCCGTCATGCACAGTCCTTTGATGTAGGCTGGCAGGACGCGAGGAATCTGCAAAGGGGGAGGGAGGGGTGACGAGATACAGCAGAGGGACAGCAGGCAAAGGGGGGTGGGGGAGGCACGGGCACTTCGTGACAGGGGGTAAATCCTCTGGAAGACAAGTGGTTAAAATAAGTGCCCTGTCATAGCAGTGCAATTTCAGGTGCGATTTGCTAATTGAAATCGCACCTGAAAATGCATCTAATGAATGTGGATATCAGCGTCCCCATATGGAAGAAAAATATATTTGAAATATATATTTAAAAATATTCTTCCCAAACATATTGTCATATATTTGAAATACTACAATTTTGGCCATATTCAATATATTTAAAAATATAATTCAATAAATATATATATATATATATATATATATATATATATATATATATATATATATATAAATATATATATAGTTGCAAGAAAAAGTATGTGAACCCCTTGGGATAACGTGGAGTTTTGCATGAATTGGGCATAAAATGTGCTCTGAACGTCATCTAAGTCACAACAATAGAAGAACACAGTCTGCTGAACATAATACTACACAAACATTAGATGTTGCCATGGTTTAATTGCACATAACATGTAAACATTCAGAGTGCAGGGAGGAAAAAGTATGTGAACCTTTGGACTTAATAATTGGTTGACCCTCCTTTGGCAGCAATAACCTCAACCAAACGTTTCCTGTAGTTGCAGATCAGACCTGCACAACGATCTGGAGTAATTTTGGACCACTCCTCTTCACAAAACTGTTTCAGTGTAGCAATATTTTTGGGATGTCTGGTGATGTGAATCGCTCTCTTAAGGTCATGCCACAGCATTTCAATCGGGTTGAGGTCAGGACTCTGACTGGGCCACTCCAGAAGGCGTATTCTGTGCTGTTGCAGCCATTGTTTTGTTGAATTACTTGTATGCTTTGGGTCATTGTCCTGTTGCATCACCCATCCTCTGTGGAGCTTCAGTTGGCGAGCAGATGGTCGTACGTTTTCCTGCAAAATGTCTTGATAAACTCTGGAATTCATTTTCCCATCAATGACAACAATCCGTCCAGGCCCTGAGGCAGCAAAGCAGCCCCAAACCATGATGCTCCCTCCGCCATGTTTTACAGTGGGGGTGAGGTTTTGATGTTGGTGTGCTGGCCTTTTTTTCTCCCACACATAGTGTTGTGTGTTCTTCCCAAACAACTCAATCTTGGTTTCATCTGTCCACAGTATATTTTGCCAGTAGTGCTGTGGAACATCCAGGTGCTCTTTTGTAAACTTCAAATGTGCTGCAATATTCTTTTTGGACAGCAATGGCTTCCTCCGTGGTGTCCTCCCATGTTCTCCATTCTTGTTTAATGTTTTCCTTATTGTAGATGTGTCAACAAAAATGTTAGCATGTGCCAGAGATTTCTGTAGGTCTTTAGCTGACACTCTGGGATTCTTCTTTACCTCATGCAGCATTCTGCGCTGTGCTCTTGCAGTCATTTTTACAGGACGACTACGCCTAGGGAGAGTAGCAACAGTGCTAAACTTTCTCCATTTGTAGACAGTCTGTCTTACCGTGGACACATGAACATCAAGGCTTTTGGAGATACTTTTGTAACCCTTTCCAGCTTCATGCAAGTCAACAATTCTTGATCGTAGGTCTTCTGAGAGCTCTTTTCTGCGAGGCTTGGTTCACATCAGACAGTGCTTCTTGAAACCAGTAAACCCAAAACAAGGTGTGTGTTTTTTAAGGGCAGGACAGCTGTCAGCAACACATCCAATATCATCACACTGATTGGAGTCAAGGTTGGCTCACTCCTGGCTCCCATTAGCTCTGGGAGAAGTCATTAAGCTAGGGCCTCACATACTTTTTCCTCCCTGCACTGTGAATGATTACATGTTATGTGCAATTAAACCATGGCAACATCTAATGTTTGTGTAGTATTATGTTCAGCAGACTGTGTTCTTCTATTGTTGTGACTTAGATGACGTTCAGAGCACATTTTATGCCCAATTCATGCAAAACTCCACGTAATCCCAAGGGGTTCACATACTTTTTTCTTGCAACTGTATATATATATATATACACTGCATGTTGAAATTCGTTTTTATTACAAAAATAAATGAAAAATATATTTTTTAAATATATATATTTTTTAAATATATTCTTCAGATTTTTTTTAACATATAAAAAAGTCATTTTAACATATATTTTTACATATATTTGTAAATGCATTCCAAAAATGTAGATTTGTGTTTTTAAAGACATACGGTATATTTGAAATGTATTTTTAAAAATATTTTTCATATATTTTGTACTAAAAACTAATTTCAACATGCAGTGTATATATATATATTTATTGAAATATAGTTTGAAAAATATTGAATATGGCCAAAATTGTAGTATGTCAAATATATGTCAATATATTTGGGAATAATATTTTTAAAATATATTTCAAACATATTTTTCTTCCATGTGGGTCTTAACACATGCGATTTGCTGCAGTTCAACTTCTAAAGTAGTTCTTGCATTACTTTTCCTGCAGTTTTGTTGCGATTTCACATACATAGAATATAATGGAAGTCGTACTACAAATTACAAGAAATCGTTGAAAATCTTCACAAGTAGCAATAAAATCTTCAGAAATTGCGCACAAATTGCGGGATTTTAAATTGCAGCGGTGTGACCGAAGACCTAGTCATAGATGTAGAGTTTGTTTTGTCTACAGGCACCCCTTCTCGGCAGTTGGTGATCAGGTGAACTAATCCTTTCATAACAATAACTCGAAACGCGTACGAGCAGATAATACCATCAAATCCCGTCTAATATTGAACCCTCTTCCTCGGGTTTGGCGGCACTTCAGAAGTCGCTGGAAGTGTTGTCATTAAAGTGATGTGAGAAGAAAGAAGAGCATTCGCGGTGCGAGGAGTTCTTTTCATATTTCCGGGGCGGCTGACAAGCACGTTCTGGCGGCGCTGACATTTAAGCCCCGTATCATGAGAGAAGAGGCCGCATTAATCAAGTTCTGGAACAGAGATATCGAAGGCACGGGTTGCCACAGCAACCACGGTCAGCCTCTCTGTCATGTATGAATAAATATCCTGCCGAGGACACTTGTGCCAGTTGCACGTCAATATTCAGCCCCTTCGGTCTTGTTCGGAGACTAATGAACTGTCTTCGCAGCGCTCACAAACACGGCGCGTTGATTCCCTTAATTAGGGCGGCTTTTATTTTTTTCCCCGCGGTGGTGATGAATGCGGTCGGCTTCTTCCTGTGCTGACTTTTGGAAAGCTCCGAAGAAAATGGATTTTGCTAAAGCTTGGTTCATGTGTACAGGTGCGGCCCTGCGCGTCGCATATAGGGCTAGCCCGTTCATGTAAATGGGCTGCCCAGCGCACGGGAAATGCGGAAAAGAAGTCCGAGGCTCTTTTCCAAAAATGCATTTGCAGACTGGGGGGGGGGGGGGGTTCAGTGGCAATTAATGGCACCTCTGCATGTCTGCTAAAGGGCAGCATATGTGATGGAAAAGATGCAATTTCGCGCATGTTCCTGACACGCAGTAGTGCAAACCCAGCCTTAGGCCTTGGAGGGGGGGGGGGGAAACATGGCTTTACAGTTCTCCAGCCCCAACCATCTACCTACAGTATACAATACAGCTGGAGGGGGCTGTATTGTATACTTTAGGTAGGTGGTCGGAACCTCCCCGCCATTTAAGGCGGTTTGTGATGCCAGGAGGGTCATGTGATCGCCGTGATTGGCTGTCACAGTGGTCACATGATCAGAAAGGTCCTGATCGCAAGTAGAGATCGTGACCTTTCCATGAGGCACTGGTAAATGTGCTGGGTGTGCACGGGGCACGCTCTCTCAGCGCATTTGTTTACTTTTGGAATGCAAATATGTGGCTGTTTCCCATCAAGGCCCAGCCACCAAGAGGTCGCATTTTATAGGCTAAAGAATGAAACCAATTTAATCCCTGACAACCAGGGATTCCCTCACTTTGGAGGGATTTTCTCTCACTTGCTGTAAGAAGACCTCTGATTGGCCGATGTTGGCGCCAAGTGTATCATTCCCCACTTGGCTTCTTCTCAGTCACCCTCCAGTTGTTGAGAGAAACTCTCCACCATTTTGTGTTGCTCTCCTGGCCAGAGGCCCGCTCACAACATCCCTGGCCAGAGGCTCACTCACATCTCTGACCAGAGGCCCGCACACAACATCCCTGGCCAGAGGCTCACTCACATCTCTGACCAGAGGCCCGCACACAACATCCCTGGCCAGAGGCCCGCACACAACATCCCTGGCCAGAGGCCCGCACACAACATCCCTGGCCAGAGGCCCGCACACAACATCCCTGGCCAGAGGCACACTACATCCCTGGCCAGAGGCCCGCACACAACATCCCTGGCCAGAGGCCCGCACACAACATCCCTGGCCAGAGACCCGCACACAACATCCCTGGCCAGAGGCCCGCACACAACATCCCTGGCCAGAGGCCCGCACACAACATCCCTGGCCAGAGGCCCGCACACAACATCCCTGGCCAGAGGCCCGCACACAACATCCCTGGCCAGAGGCCCGCACACAACATCCCTGGCCAGAGGCCCGCTCACAACATCCCTGGCCAGAGGCTCACTCACATCTCTGACCAGAGGCTCACTCACATCTCTGACCAGAGGCCCGCTCACAACATCCCTGACCAGAGGCTCACTCACATCTTTGACCAGAGGCCCGCACACAACATCCCTCGCCAGAGACCCGCTCACAACATCCCTCGCCAGAGACCCGCTCACAACATCCCTGGCCAGAGGCCCGCTCACAACATCCCTGGCCAGAGGCCCGCACACAACATTCCTGCCCAGAGGCTCACTCACATCTCTGACCAGAGGCCTGCATACAACATTCCTGCCCAGAGGCTCACTCACATCTCTGACCAGAGGCCCGCACACAACATCCCTCGCCAGAGGCTCACTCACATCTCTGACCAGAGGCCCGCACACAACATTCCTGCCCAGAGGCTCACTCACATCTCTGACCAGAGGCCCGCACACAACATGCCTCGCCAGAGGCTCACTCACATCTCTGACCAGAGGCCCGCACACAACATCCCTGGCCAGAGGCTCACTCACATCTCTGACCAGAGGCCCGCACACAACATCCCTGGCCAGAGGCTCACTCACATCTCTGACCAGAGGCCCGCACACAACATCCCTGGCCAGAGGCTCACTCACATCTCTGACCAGAGGCCCGCACACAACATCCCTGGCCAGAGGCCCGCTCACAACATCTCTGACCAGAGGCCCGCACACAACATCCCTGGCCAGAGGCCCGCTCACAACATCCCTGGCCAGAGGCCCGCTCACAAACATCCCTGGCCAGAGGCCCGCTCACAACAACCCTGGCCAGAGGCCCGCTCACAACATCCCTGGCCAGAGGCCCGCTCACAACATCTCTGACCAGAGGCCCGCACACAACATCCCTGGCCAGAGGCCCGCTCACAACATCCCTGGCCAGAGGCCCGCTCTCAACATCCCTGGCCAGAGGCCCGCTCACAACATCCCTGGCCAGAGGCCCGCTCACAACATCCCTGGCCAGAGGCCCGCTCACAACATCCCTGGCCAGAGGCCCGCTCACAACAACCCTGGCCAGAGGCCCGCTCACAACATCCCTGGCCAGAGGCCCGCTCACAACATCCCTGGCCAGAGGCCCGCTCACAACATCCCTGGCCAGAGGCCCGCTCACAACATCCCTGGCCAGAGGCCCGCTCACAACATCCCTGGCCAGAGGCCCGCTCACAACATCCCTGGCCAGCAGCATTAATATTCAGAATAAAGCTCCATTCACACTTGTGCGACCTGTCTTGGACACATAAAGTGACATAGCAAGTCGCAGCCTATGTATTTCAATGGAAGCCATTCAAATCTATGTGGCTTAACGTCGCAGTGACTTTAAAAAGGTTCCTGCACTACTTTGATGTGACCTTCGTGCGACTTGAGGGCCATAGACTGCAATGTAAACTCTCAAAATTGGCACGAAAGTCGCATCTTTATGTTAGCAATGTGATAACCATGCAACAGTCAAAGCCAAAGTCAACAGCCAAAGTGGCATTCAAGTCGCACCCATACAACGTTGTAATGTAAAGTCGCAATGGCAATCACAGGCCGTCTTCCCTCTCCTCCATTCCTCTCCTTGGGAGCACCACAGAGTTGGGACCACTTCCCTGTGTATACTAAGTCCACAGCCCTAGGCTTTCATCACCAAGATGCAGGACCCCTAATTGAGGATCAAGGTGTTTCCGATAGTATACCAGTATCCTCCCAATGTCCCTTCTACAGCCGGGCACACTCCCAGGTGGTGATCCCATTCTCAGGCTTCCACCGCTACTCACATGAGAAGACTCTATCCATTCCAAGGCAGAAGAAGGTCAGGAGAGGCAGGACGACTACAGCTTTGTCTCCCACTATCTGCCCCACTTGGAAATTCAGCCCTCCCCAGCGATTGAGAAGCCCTTACAGGTTATTACTTTACATTTACAGAGGAGGTCTGGTGCTAGAATTACTGTCCATGATCTCATGATCACGGCGATATCTCACATGTGAGGGATGATCACTCTTTGCGTGTGTGCGGGACCGGCGCTTGCTTCCGTCACGGGGGGGTGGGACACTTTTTTTTTTTATTTATTTATTTTACACTGTCACTTTATTTTTTTATTACTTTATTGCTGTCACAATTATTATTATTATTATACAGGATTTATATAGCGCCAACAGTTTGCTCAGCGCTTTAATGTAAACATCCCTTGTGACAGATAACAACATGTGACAGGTACTCTTTATGGAGTGATTTGGGCTCAATAGGACCCCCAAATCCCTCCTCTGCTCTCTTCTTTTTTTAACCTCTTCACGCCTAAGGATAAAACAAATCAACGCCTAAGCACAATTTTGCAACATTGACATGTGTTAGTAAAACCATACATATCATCACAGCTACTTTGTACATCCGGGTGAATTATACCGCGTTTTTTTCAGGACAAATTGGGCTTTCATTTGGTGGTAAATTGTAATGGATATCTCCTGTTTTTTTTTTTTATCAAAGGAAAACTGGTCCAAAATAGTAAAAAAAAAAAATATTTTTTTAAATTTACTTGTTACTACCATAACCTACCACCAAATAACAACCCAAAATAAATTTTCCAGCTCTTTGCGATCGCAGCGCTGCCATATGTGTGTATGTTATTTGTTGTTTGTACCCGTAGTACAGCCCAGAAACAATAGTGCGCATTTTGTTTTTTGAGGGTTTTTGTTTACCTAAAACACACTGACACTGACTGACACTGATACCAATTAAAAAAAAAAATCCTGACCTTTGACCCTGACCTTTTGACCATGACCTTGACCCAAACACTTACCCTGGCACTGAACTAGATCAAACCTTGATCTAGGTATTTTTTCTTTATTTTTTATTTTTAAATATCTATTTATCTTTTTTTTTTTTTTTTTTTATAACAAACATTTTTTCCCTCTATACCAGGAGTTAGAGAGATACAATGTATCTCTCTCCTCCATTCATAGAGAAAAAATAAACAAGGGGGGCAGGCTGTACAGGGACTGATCACTGTGATAGCCAATCAGAGTCTCTCAGTGACACCCCGGCCTTTGTGCTGGAAGCGCGAGGTGCGGCTCTATACATGTGCAGTTCATTTCATTTTGAATCGAAATTTGGACAAATTTTTCATTATTCAGAGATTCAGATGTATCCGAATTTCAAATACATTAGTAACCAATTTAAACAAATCTGAAACAACTACACTAAATTCAGCCAAAATTCGAACTGATTCAAATTCGAAAACACATTTGAAAGCAAATCGGAAAACAAATTCAAATTTGAAAAGAAATTTGAAATTTGAAAAGAAATTAGAATTTGAAAACAAGAAGAATAGAATAACATAGAACCGAAAATAAAGGAATAGAATAGAATCCACTGGAATAGAATAGAAAATCAAATAATAGAATAGAAAAGAGTAGAATCAATTAGAACAGATAGAAAAGATCAGAATAGCAAATCAAAGAATAGAATAGAAGAGAATAGAGTAAAACAGAAAAAATAGAATAGAGAATAAAGGAATTGGATATAATCAATTAGAAAAGAATAGAATAGAATAGAAAATCAAAGAATAGAATAGAAAATAGAGTAAAACAGAAAAAATAGAATAGAGAATAAAGGAATTGAATAGAATCAATTAGAATAGAATAGAAAAGACTAGAATAGAATAGAAAATCAAAGAATAGAATAGAAAAGCTTAGAATAGAAAATCAAAGAATAGAATAGAAAAACAACAGAATAAAATAAAATAGAAATAATATAACTGTCTTCCGAAATTTGAATTTTGAATAGAATGAATTCAAATCTGAACAGAATAGGATAAAATAGAATAGAACAGAAAAGACTAAACTATTTCACAAAACAATAAAAATTGTGAGCTGCGCTATGGTGCCATGAGTAGTGATCAACAAAAGCACTGTGAAAATTTAGCTGAAAAAATTTAAATTCCCAATATGGTCACGCAACTCTTCATTTAGCCCACATACCTTTAAAAAAAACATATGGATTGTGGATTATGGATTGTAATGTTATAATTATTTTCAAATCCCTCCGAAATTTCGAATTTGGTCGAATTGGAATAAACTAAACAAATTCCGAAAAAGGAATTTAACTGATCAAATGAAATAAAATTAGTCGAATAACGAATCGAAAGGAAACAATTTTTTTTCCTTTTGCACATGTCTAAACAGCACAAACTCCAGCGATGTATGGGTAAGTCACTGCAGCTGAAGTGGATATTTACTTGTTTTAAACTTTTTTTTACAGTTCTTCAGTTACTTCCTGGTTTCTGGCCTAGGCCAAAATGATGTCATACATCCCAGCACTCTTCAGGAGGGGAGGAGGAGTTTTCTCCACAAAGCACACCCTCCTGCCTGCATACCTGAGCTATGGGCAGATGGATTCCAGGAAGTAAATGCTATACATGAATCATCTGCCCTTACTTAAGATGGCCATGGGCAGAAATGCTAGGTGGGGTATTTTTTAAAAGTGATTTCTCAGCAAAATAAAACCTGGAGACATTCATGGATTGGGGGGGTTGCTTTTCATAATAAAAATGAATTAAATAGCATTTTTGGTGTGTGTGGTGCTGAGATGCGGTGTAGTGCCGCTTTAATAAGCGCTAAATTGTCCGGATGGAAGAGATTTCCTGCCACTTAGAGATATATCATGGATTTTCCCTTCATCTTTTCATAGAATATGGCAGTAAATGTAGGTCAGAGAGTCTCTATAAATAGAGCCGGCGCTTTGCTTTGATTGCACCGTGTTAAAATGCCCAGCTTTTTCCAGCTTCGTCGCCGGGTTTGTGGCCTCCTGACCTCCGCGGAATGCCTGGCGTGTTTCTCCCATCTAAACCGAATAAACTGCGACCTCTCCTGATTAAATTTTCATCTCGGACACAGCGCCATCAATCCAGGTTATAAAAGCAGCGCCGTTATATACCTGGAATCGGGAGAAATAAAATACTGAGGGTTACTTACACCCCGCTCATATCAAACCCGACTTTGAAATCATGCTGCTTACAGCGAAGTCGCTCGATTTCAATGTTGGGTGGCATGGCGATTTCAGGTGCGATTTGCAAGACACCCCGCCAGGGGCGGATTGACCAATTGGAAACTCGGGCACTGCCCGAAGGCCCGGGGTTAGTAGGGGGCCCCATGAGATGCCCCTGGTACCTTTTTCATAAGCTTTTTTGAGTTTGGGCAAGGACACAGGGGCCCCATAATCCCCTATTGCCCGGGGGCCCCATGAGTTGTCAGTCCGCCCCTGCACCCCGCTCACATAAAACCTGACTTTGAAATCATGCGACTTACAGCAAAGTCGCACGATTTCAAAGTTGGGTGGCATGTCAATTTCAGGTGCAATTAGCAAGACATCTGACACCCTGGTCACATCAAACCCGACTTTGAAATTGTGCGACTTAAAGCGAAGTCACGTGATTTTAAAGTCGGGTGGCATGCCAATTTCGGTGCGATTTGCGAGACATCTGACACCCCGGTCACATCAGACCCAATTTTGTAATGGTGCAACTTACAGCAAAGTTGCGTGATTTTAAAGTCGGGTGGCATGCCGATTTCAGGTGCGATTTGCGAGACATCTGACTCCTGGTCACATCAATCCCGACTTTGAAATCATGCGACTTAAAGCAAAGTCGCGTGATTTCAAAGTCGGGTGGCATGCCAATTTCGGGTGCGATTTGCAAGACATCTGACACCCCGGCAGGGGCGGACTGACCATTTGGAAACTCGGGCACTGCTTTAGGGCCCGGGGTCAGTAGGGGGCCCCATGAGATGCCCCTGGTACCTTTTTCATAGGCTTTTTTGAGTTTGGGCAAGGACACAGGGGCCCCATGATCCCCTATTGCCCGGGGGCCCCATGAGTTGTCAGTCTGCCCCTGCACCCCGCTCACATCAAACCCGACTTTGAAATCGTGTGACTTACAGCGAAGTCGCACGATTTCAAAGTTGGGTGGCATGTCAATTTCAGGTGCGATTTGCAAGACATCTGACACCCCGGTCACATCAGACCCAATTTTGTAATGGTGCAACTTACAGCGAAGTCACGTGATTTTAAAGTCGTGTGGCATGCCGATTTCAGGTGCGATTTGCGAGACATCTGACTCCTGGTCACATCAAACCCGACTTTGAAATCGTGCGACTTACAGTGAAGTCGCGTGATTTCAAAGTCGGTGGCATGCCGATTTCGAGTGCGATTTGCAA